ATGATGTCCTCCAAGGACTTATCGAGACACACTTTGGGCGATTCAAGGTCCTGCAGGCATTTGTTTCGTATGTATTGATCCACGTTCCTTGGTTCCCTCGTGTCAACTGTCTCCTTCGCAGCGAACTTATCAATGTAGATGTCGAGGAGCACAAAAGCCGGGCTCGTAGCGCGATGAAAGAGACACTCGAGCTTGAATTTAGGCCGAATTACACTCAAAACACTCAATATCTTCTGAGCCTTCGCGAGTCATGGCTCGACAGGTACAAGCTGGGTCACCGAGAGCCACACCAGTACCATCTTCCCGCTGTAACTCAGGTATGCGTTCGTCCGACTGCACCACACGAGTACCAGGTTTCCACTGACACCCCCATCCAGAAGTCCAACAAGAAAGGCAAGGAGGGTAGGTCGTCACGGTTTGATGGGCCAAACGAGATGCCTCGGACTTCCCCACCGAAAGCCAAGGCCAAGCCTTCCCCCCCACAGGTTGCAGGCATGTTTTTTGGGGGGCAACCCCCTTCCTGGTCTTCGTCACAGTTTGAGCATGCAGCGGTGGCTCACGATTCCTCGTCGGAAACCAATGCTTCGGAATCTCTCTCACCTTCTGACGCCTTTGAAGACGAGTTGATCGTCATGGCGGACGTCCGGGCATACTTCCATGTTGCATACAAGGTACTTACTCTCTGCAAGTGTGTGATTTGGAAGTCGATGGACTCACGAGCCGCACTATACAGCGCATCATCGACCGCATCCCTCTCAACATCGAGCACTCTCTGCATCGACCTCTGGCAGGAAAGCTACCGGTCGCCCTCCTGCGGAGCCTGACTGTCGATGCAACGGCCCGAGGGGATTTTGCTGAACGCATGAAAGAGCTTACGAGCGAGGATCCAGCTATCGCTCTGAAGCGAGAGCATCTGCAAGCGAGGCGAGCACGACTTCATGACTACAGGAGAAAGTTGATGAACTTTTCTGCTTGAATCCTGTGTCGTAGTATCTTTTGGTTTTTATCCGTGCCCGGTGCCCAGTGTGTGTTTTGGGGATGCGATGTCCAATAAAGTCTCGGTGGTCCTAATGTTACATTGGTTTTCCTAGGTGTCGAGGTCGAGTTACTTGAGATGGGCTTAAATGCTGGATGTGATTTCGAATGCCAAGACCCAAAGACTTCAGCACGGCTTATGTACTTCCTTGGCGCTCTCGGTGCTCTGAAGAAGAATTCAGCGCTGGGATGACTATTGGATCCAATATCAATAATTTACACAGAATGACAATGGCAAATCCCGTCCGTCAGATTTTCAGCGTGCGAGCGTATGAAACATACTACAAGATACAATCATCTGATCAAGCCAACGTCTATTTTTCCAGATCTTGCGCAGGAGAATCGGTGGAGGGTATACCAGTCGGCTGAGGCAGAGGACGTCGCCTGCCCCATGCATCCCATTGTGCATTGTAAGCAGGGGGGAGTCTACCAGACGACGAGCGAGTCAGCTCTGGAAGGGCAGGGCCGAGGTCTTCGTGCCGAGCGGTCGCAGGTAACTGCATGATATCCGAAGAGCTTTGCGAAGAGTATATAACTCTTCCTTCTGACGCCGACGGTCCAACGCTCGAGGAGACATTACTCTCCGTCGGGCGGTGCCTGCCTGTGAAGGGTGCATAACCGGCGGAATCTTGTGTGGTGTGAGCGGTACGAACGACGGACTGAGATGAGGGCTTTCTTACTTGATGGGTATGGTGAGAGCATGGACATCGTTGAAGTCGTCGACCAGTCGACGTCCGTTGTTGGCAGACGTTGGTGTCGACGCTTCCTCCAACAAGTAAAAGCAAGTCTTAGAAGTAATGCCAATCCGACTGCACCACCAACGGCGCCTCCAGCTACACTAGCAGTGGACGGGTGCGAAGACTGAGGGGACGACGTGACCTGTGTTGCTAATGGTGTGGAGCTGGAAGCAGATATCGACCCAGAAGCAGATGTCGATGGCAGGGCTGAAGACGTGGTGGACATCGTAGAATTGCAGTGAGTAAAGGTATTGTTATTGTTTTGTACCTGATCCCGGCTTGCGGTGTCCATGGTATAAACACTGGATTCGATCTTGGAGGTCAGCAGCTTGATGCGGACTACACACCAACTCACAAAAACCTAGAGAAAACGACATTCAGACAACGTCTTGGGAGATTTGAAATTCACAAGTACATACCATGAACCATCGTTCCAAAATAGTTCATGCAAAAAATTATCTAACTTGATATCAGCGTTGCACGCAGCAGTCCGGATATCCGCTGGAAGTCTGTTTTCGGAATTGGCATCGCTCTGTGAGATGAGAGGCGGTGCGTACGATTGGTTTGTGCCCGGGCTACAGTAGGCGCCGGTAGGTGCACGGTACATCCCGTAGGCGCCTACTCCTGGAAGAGCAACACGTTAAGCGCCAAATGGAACCGGAAAAGGTTTGTACGAACCAGCGTCTATGCCGTTGGGTGAGCCACCTATAACATCCCACTGGCAGCTGTAAACAGTTGTAAGTAGGGCATAAAGCGCGACGACAAACTGTGGTTGCGCACTTCATGCACAGCATGCTCAGCGCCCACGAAATAGAGTTACAACAGCAGTCATCTGTAGATATATTTCAGCGGCGGACAAGGGAGACGGACACGGATGCCATACGGAGCTGGTCGTCACATTGATCGCCTGGAGTGTTTGGACGGAAAGAGGGGACCTGATCTGCACATAGAATTTGGAAGTCAAAGACCAAAATTTGGTCTACAGATATCTTTACTCACACTGGGGATTGCATATTTGCCTCAGTCGCTGGTAGGTTTCGCCTTCATCGCAGGACAGTCAGTCGAAGTCACTTCCAACAGAAAAAGACCGCCAGTCTTACAAGCTGTCTCGCCAACAGCGTTGGTATACCTGCTCGACGTTAGCAACGACGCGAGGAGCTGCAAAGAGAGACCAATTTCACCAGTCCGTCAAATTTCCAGCACATGTCGTATTTCCGGCCTTGACGACATCTAAGCTGAATAAACCGGCGATCGCAAGTGCAAGAGCCTTAGCACGGGGTTGAGAAAGCCACTGTGGGTACATTATCAACGATCCTGCAGAGTGCTAGATTATCGGGTGAAGTGAAAAAAGTTGGGACAACAGGCTGTTCAGTTTTGCTCCATAGACGTGACAAGTACCCAGCCGCACCATGATGGATCAATATCAGCAAAACTGGGACAAAATCGGGAACAATCTAAATTATTCCCAGTATAGGATCAGCGAGACCGCGGTCGTGCCAGTGTCCTGAGCTGATATTGATTGTAACAAGATATCAGGTCCACGACAGGAGAATGGATTGACCTATGTTGTCAGGCTTGCCATGGAGAATAATCATACCCACCTTCCATAAACTTCCAAACCCAAAGCTGCAAGCATGAGCGTTATTATAGTATACCTTGATACAACAACTGAGCTCATGTCGCACAGCGGTGGTATATAAGAGAGACACTATTTATCGGGGACTAGCAATGCAGTTTGTCCAAAACGGTAACGGCCTACAGGTAGAGAGCTGGTCGAAAAATCAGATAGCCATTCGACATTTGCAGCCTTTTGGCACTTTGGGTGATCTGATACTAATGATATACCAGCGCATCTGATGCTGATGAAGAGTCCAATATGAAAAGGAAGGCAACAGCTGGCAACAGTCGGAACAAAGTCGGAATCGTCGTCAAGGATGTCGATGAAGGCGCGTCTACCGCTGCGGTAAGATTGCGGTTCTAACCGGAGACATGCGATTGGCTCACATCCCGCACGCCGTCCCACCGCTGACTTTCCTCCACTCCCTTATTCTCATCAACGTATACGATGTCCGCATCTATTCTCCTGCGCTCGACATTGCCCAAAACTTTCCCTTCAGCCACCAGCCGCATTGTTTTACGATCCGCCCTCCAAGGTATCATACCCTTCCTATCTCTCAATCTCCCACAATACCCAAGTATTTTGTAGTGAGGCATGGTTCTAGTTCCACTACACACTATGTTCCTGGTGGACGTAAGTCTTCACCACTCATCTCATCCATTTCGCGTCTAAAGAATTAAATGTCTAGCCATATACCAGGGAACTGTCAATGACCCGACAACATTCCCACCACCCTCGAAGATTCACGGGTCCTACCACTGGGCATTCGAACGCCTTCTGTCTGCCGCTTTGGTGCCCATGACCGCTGCAGCATTTGCAACCTCGGCAACCGCTTACCCCGTTCTCGACGGTCTTCTGGGCATTTCGTTGGTGATGCACAGTCACATGGGAGTACGTACCCCTTACTGATCAGCCGCTTAGAGTCACTAACGCACCTCCCAGTTCGATTCCATGGTCGTCGACTATCTCCACAAGCGCAAATTCCCCATAATTGGGCGCGTCATAACATGGACACTCAGGACCGCTACTGTCGGCGTCCTCGTCGGCGTTTACCAGTTCAACACCAACGACATTGGTAGGATATTATCAGGTATCGAAAAGTCGTGCGAACTCACACTCTTATCAGGTTTGACGGAGCTGATTGCCAAGGTGTGGGCCGCATAGATGATCTGGACCGTATAAGTCGCAAGTCTGCTGTTCACCCGAGTCTAGACAAACTTGCAGCAAGAAGCCGATGGAATGCATCGAGCGGAGTGGAACTTGCAGAATACACGCTCTAACATGCGCTTCTGACACCTTTCTCTGTCTCTGGCCCTGCTGAAAATCCAAGATCGGTCCACATACATTGGACAAGTGAGGCGTGATACAGAACCCAGACATACCATTAGTACGAAGGAAAGAAACAACGCAAGAGTGTATTCGACATATCAGGGAAGTGAGAACTCGCCGAGATTTCACTGTATAGGCAGAAGAAATCGTGGGTTCCTCCCGTGGTCGTGCTCGCATTGCTTGTAGATGACGGTCTCGTCGTTCAAAGGGACGACCAACCTAAATAGGGATGTGAGCTGGTTCCACATCAATCAATACACAGACGATGCTCCAAATGGCAAGCCCGCTTAGCTCAGTGGTAGAGCGCGTCACTTGTAACAGATCGTGATCTGAGGTATGATGAGGTCGGTTGTTCAATCCAGCCAGTGGGCAGTATTTTTGCCCTAGATATCTCATTGGGAGGTTTTTCGACTCGTTCTTTCTTTTTGCAGGTGTCGTCAGGCTCCTTCCCACCACTGCTTCGAGTGTTGAGGGCGACTTGCTAGGGAGAGGATGATGGACTTGGTGATATTTGAGTGGTAGTACTATTTTAAGAATATTACTCAAGTCACATAATCCCAATACAAATACAAACCCAGCACAACCTTAAACCCCCTCTCTCAGCAGCAGCTGGAGTATCAGGCTCCTTCCCACCACTGCTGGAGAGGTGGAGTCGGTCTGCTATGGTGTGGTGGACTTGGTAGAATCTGAAATGGTAGTGTTATTCTTAGAACGAATCACCGTGTACAATACAACGTTCAATATTTAATCCCAGCAGCGGCTAGAACTTGAATAACATTTGTAAACATTCGCCAGCCACAGCGGCAGCACACTGCGGTTGCCTGCGGAGTCTATAAAATATGGCAGAGATTGAGGGAATACATATTAGCAAATCAAATATGTATCATAGGCGACTCGAAAAACTCGGCGAGACGATCATGGCCTCGGCGGAACAAGTCGAATCGGTGCTCGATGTGCTCGAGCTCTCGGGTGCCCGGCCCTCTGGATTCTTTGTCTCCCTCATAACGGACCAACAATTTAAGAACCAGGCGGGAGAAAATGCTAGGACGGTGCCCCGAGAATGAGATGCTGTGACGAGAACAAGACAATGAGATGTACAGGTGAGAGCATGACGACACACAGCGGCGAGAAAAAACCACGAGATCGTCTGCAATGGGAGGGACGAAATTGTGGTGACAATCACGGGAACAAGACGACTTGTTGAGCTGGCAAGCTCATAGCCTGCTGGCAGTGGACCTGATCTCGTAATGTCAGTTGTGTTGGCGGGGAAGACGTCGGACTCTGCTCGAAAATCCATTTCCTGGATGAAGTTCTCCAATACGTGGCGATTTTTTTAATGTAAAGCAGTTGATGGTAGTCTAGTAACGAAAATGAGGCAAATTTAAACTGATCAAGTTATAATCTTATTGAGGCACTCTCTGGCGCTCCCGAACCACAATCCTGACCAGCCTGAGGATATATGTCACTTGGAGGTTGGCGGTTTCTCACTCGTTATAAATCGACCCCTTAACAAATGCAAGGAGCAGAACATAAATACGAGGGAGAAGCTCGTAACCATCTCCAGCACATCTCTGGATTCTCTACCCGTGGGCAATGAAACTCTCTGCTACCAGCGGTACCCTTCTTCTTGCGTCCCTCGCTGGATCTGCGTTTGGTGTCGCAACGTATACCAAAAGCGAGCGTATCGCTGGTGAGGACTTTTACAACTCCTTCAACTTCGAGGCAATTGCGGATCCTACCCACGGTCGCGTGTATGTCCCCTGGTGTCTCCATTGCGTAGCTCCTCCTGTAACACCCTTCTATACAGGAACTACGTGGACCAGGAAACTGCTGTGAACCTAGGCTTGACGTTTGCCATAGACGATACCTTCTTTTTGCGCGCCGATGATACTACTGTCCTTTCTGCCAGCGGCCCGGGCCGCAACTCTGTTCGGATCCGTTCCAACAAAAAGTATACCACTCACGTTGCAGTGTAAGTTCCTGGTCGGGTCCCCGGAGCAGTGACAACATGGTGGTTACCGGTATTTCCTTGCAGATTTGACATACTCCACATGCCTCAGGGATGCGGGTGAGCTTAACGCTACAGTAGTCAACTTTCGCTGATATCTTCAACGTGACGCTTGAAGAACGTGGCCCGTGAGTTATCTGCCTTCGTCACTGCATGATGCGAGTAGAACTGATATCTGACTTAGGCTGTCTGGGAAACAAACGAATCTAACTGGCCCCAGAGGGTACGTATCTCTTCCATTTTGGCGCCAACACGATACCGACGATGCGCTTTAGGGTGAGGTCGATATCCTCGAGGGTGTGAATGATGTCATACCGAATCAGTCGGCGCTCCATGCCAGCCCCAGTGAGTCGATCTACCACTTGGCAGCGATCTTCACAACTTACGTTCACAGATTGCTCAATCCCTGCCACGGGGGTCAACCAGCTTGGGTAAGAGTAGGAGACCTCGGGGTGAGACTCAGTTTTCTCAACATCTTTGCGCAGGACCACCATTTCTACGAATTGTGATGCAACCGGTATGTCATCCAATTGCCAATCGACAACGTATTGCTCATGTGCCACAGTCAATTACAACCAAGGATGCGTTGTTGACTTCTCCGAGGATGGCAACAGCTTCGGCCCTAACTTCAACCGGATTGGTGGCGGATGGTGTGTGATGCCTTGCTAACGTTGTTACCGCGATTTATCGAAGAATTGTTTCCCAGGTACGCCATGGAGCGCACCAACGACTATATCAGCGTCTGGTTCTGGGAGCGCGGTGATCGTTCTGCACCTTATGATGTAATTAGCGGCGCTCCCCATATCAACACGAGTAAATGGGTGAGCTAAGATTCAACTTCCTTCGTTGGGTCGACTTCTGGACAAAAGGCGCATTTCAGGGTACTCCCTCTGCATACTTCCCCAACACGGATTGCGACTTGGCTTCTCATTTCGGTCCTAACAACATCATAATCAACCTGACGTTCTGTGAGTAAATTTGAGGAGATTTGTTGAATGCAAGGGTAACTGATCGTCCTGAAGGTGGCGACCGAGCTGGTAACTCTGATGTGTATACGGCTTCTGGCTGCCCCTCGACTTGTGTTGGTGTGTAACATATCCCGAATCTGTATTCTCGGCGACGGCTGATGATTCCTTTCCGCCAGACTACGTGAACAGTAAGCTCAAATACATGGCATCTTCGTGATTCTTATTCAGCCTACTACAGACAACCCCGCGGCGTTCGCTGATGCATACTTCCAATTCGCCTCTATCAACATCTACACATGAATTATATATCCCGGTTCGTGGAGGTATGTGGACTCCTGCCCGTGGAGCAGGACGTCGTCCTGCATCCCAGAAAGCCACAACGTAGAAGTAGACATAGACCATACATATTACCCTGAGTTCGAACCATACCAAAATTTGGGAGCAGCCCCTGTCCCTCGACGGAATCCCTGCAATATTCTCAATATAGGTCTCGAATCGACGGCGGTCGTTGTTTAAACCACCACCATCAAGACTGGCGCTGAGAAGGGAGAACATTGAACAGAACTTACAAAGGTCAGGAGTGTTCCACTTTGCACAGGCGTTCTCAAGAACGAGTCTTCGATACGATGCGTCCCCGATTTCATACAAGAACAACTAATCTGCAGAATTTAGGGTGTGTTGAAACACCGAATGCAGGCTTTCTGACGGCACTTGGTGTGGCGTGTGTGGCGCGACGTGGTGAAAGCGACAACACTCACAAGTGCTCCTGTATTTTTTTTCGTAGCCCCTTTATATGGCCCAACCGGAACAAGAAATGTCCTCCAAGCCGTTGTCGACCAGTAAACCCACTACGGTAGTTGACGACATGGTGCGAGCGCGAGTGAATAAGCGTGCCGCGAAGGCTGAAGAACGGAGGGCCAACACCCTGAAACTGAAAGAAGAGGCGAGCACGGAGCCACCTGCATTGGACATGAGTGACAATTGGAGCAGGGTAACGCTCTGTACCGCAGTGGGGGCTAACTACCCCACTGCTGACCGCTACCAGAGAGCCCTGGCGATCCATAGCGAAAGAAGAGAAGCTTGGTTTGTTGTCGAACATGGCGACTGTACATCGAAATGCAAGTTGTCTTTCCTTGAACTTGGACTTGCTGACTGCTCTTCTGTCATCATCATAAAAAAGGTTCGCGGAAGCTCGCGTCGCGGCTGGGGAAGCACCCATGGCCAATCCTAAATGTATAAAAACAAGGTTTCGCAGGAATGACACGACAGAAAATGAATATATCGGCGGCTGGTGGTGGTGGTGGTAAGGGCCGCCATGGTATTTGTGAACACAAATCCCATCAGATCACATGGTGACTTTCGTACTGTTCTTAGCATTGAATCCTGGAAACAGAGGTCAAATCGAGACTTGCCGTCATCGAGCAACTTAGCCTCGCCGACGACGGTGTCGAGATTGGTTATTTCTGACGACGAATATCCATTACCTAGCGGAGAACCCCAGCTGGAGGAATCAATGCCAGAGTTGTGAACATGAGGGTAACAGCACTCCCTGCAAGTTCTATAATCACAGGAGGTGCACAAAATAGTCGGCATGTCGATTTTCGCATGCACCTGACAGCAAGAAGGAGAGGGTTTCCCTCCAAGTGTGACACCCTCTTTCCCAGGCTCCTTCCCACCGCTGCTGGAGAGGTCGAGTCGGTCTGCTAGTACGGTGGACTTAAACAAAATCCAAGTGGTTGTGTTATTTTTGGATCTGTGTCGCTACTGCGAATCACATGACGGTGGCATAAGAGGTTCTCACGGTGACTGACTCCCACCGTGAGAATGTATGGCAATGAAAAAGTGCAGGCGGGTGTGCCGAAAGGCCCCTGTGTGCCCGAGCGACCTGTGGGTCTAACAAGGTGGAGCTTCCCACCCCCCCACTCGTATCTACCCAAATTTGCAACCAATCCAGCCTGGGGTAGCCACTCGCTTACAGTCGTGGCACATGACTAGATTCAAATCCCTAGGTAGGGCATTAGATTGGTAGTTGGTACCCTAAGCATCAGCCAGATGGACTAGCGGTAGGGGCAGCAGCTGTAAGCCCCCTGATGAGAACTGTTGCGAGTTTGAAACTGCTGCCTCTGCTTGCTTTTCCTGCCCCTTGTCATACTGTACATGTGATCCACCACATGGCCCGGCCCCTATCTTTGGAGAAGGGTGTCCTGACAGATGACTAAGCAGGTGGACAGCCCGGCATGACCTCTTGTGCACACAGATAAGGTACTGTGGTGCCAATGGCACCACAGCACGTGCAAACCCATGCAGGAATCATGTGAACATTCAAACACTGCCAACTTTATTTCTCGACCTCTCCTGCAGCGGCTGGAAGATAACATTTGTAAACTTCATCAGCC